GATGAGCTCCAGCGCCAGGGCTTGAGGCAGCAGGGGCTGCAAAGGTCCTYGGCTCCAGCAGAGCACTTGCCTCCAGCAATTCCCATCTGGTTGGGTGTCTCCACATACAGAGCAGGGACACAGGAGGCTTTGGAGAGGCGCATGGAAAAGCACAGAGCTAAGCTCTTGCTGCAAGCACAGTCCCAGGGTAGTACCTGCTGAGGGCCTCCTTGAAATGTCACTGCTTGTGGTGCAGCGGGGCTTTTTATGAGRCAGCCACCTGTTCCGCTTGCATTACCTCATTGCTGCTACTGAATCCCCAGCTGTAAAGTAGTTTTAATTAAAATTATTTATTGCCCAATAAGATTTGTCCCCTATATTGGGTGTATCTTTGAAGATAACATTTTTTCCTTATCACTTCATCACTGGGCTTACACTTCAAAGAACTGTACCCGTGGATGTCACTGTGATCAGAATAGAGTATGTGGATTTTAGCTGAGCAGTGACGTACAATCAATGTATTTTTAAGCTGAGCTTAGCTTTATTTTGCATCTTTATTTATACCTCTGACAACTGAATGAGTGCCCTGGCTCCAAGCCATATCTCTCAATAATAATAATCTTTTTTTCAGATTCTTGGGAAATGGTTTCTCCACTGTATTGTGCATGTTCTCKTGACATCTTAATGCAGTTTCTAGGTCACTGAGCTAAGAAAAGATTATAGGTGCCACTAAAGTGTCCTTAAAGGAGAACCAGCCACAGGCTGGGCCGGGTTTCTGGTACTTAGAGAAATCAAATGTTGTCATGTACCGTCTTCATGCTGTGCCAGATCAGTTAAAGCTGAAACGATTCTGTCAGGTTTCACTCCATCTGCAGGAGTTTGCATGCTCGTGCCCTCAGGCCAGCTGTGGTGAATGGATGTTGCCCATGGATCCATCAGTTGTTGCAGGTCTGTGCTGGGGAGCTGCAGGGACTCTCTGGCAGGTCTTACCTGGCACCCACTGGCTGTTGGGAAGGGGTTAACTCAATGTTTTGGGTTCTTTTGAAGGCTGAGGGGTGAAAGCAGAAGCACTAGGAGGTGACAATGTCTCAGGATGTAGTTGGAGGTCATTCTTGCCTTTGCCAGCCTGGAGAAAGTGCCTCACTCTCACTGAGGGACGGGGTGTTCATCTGGCAGGAGCTGTGGGGAGAGGGTGGGTGTCCCCACAATTCCAACTCGAGAAGCTCCTCTCCCCAGTGTCACTGCTGGAGCTGTCTGTTCCCAAGAGAGCAGGCAGGACATCTGTAGCACTCCCTGCTTGTATTGTTGGATCCATATCCTGGGAAGGAAGCTCAACCCCTCCTGGCTGGGGCTGGGATTCCCCTGTGTGGATACAGCATTGATGAAAAAAGCCTGGAAGCTAACTTTAGCAAACTATTCCATGAGGACTTAGAGATGTTAGAAGAACTCTGTTCCTTAATATGCTGCAAGTCCCTCAAAGGGGTGGTGCAGGATCAGGGCTGGGAGGGGTTCTGGTAGCCCGAAGCCCTCATTCTCCTCTGCCCTGTGTGAAGCAGTAGTCCATGGGCTGGGTGGAACAGTGAGAAATGGAGCTCTGGCCAAGCAAAACACAGAGAGAATGTTCTATGTGATTCCTCTTCCTATTCTCTCATCCTTCTCATTTCACCTCATCAGCCTGCCTGTGCCAAAGGACTGCTGCTGCCAACAGGAGAGGCTGGAGTCATTCTCTRGGGAAAGGGAGTGGAGCCTGGTGTCATGCACCTGCAAAAAAATYATTTATCCTTTCTGCCAAGAGCTTAGGTTGAACACTTGGCACCTGCCAAATTCAACAGAGCAATGGCTGGTGATGGATGGTCACCTGCTCATCTTCAGAGGAGGCTGTGGGACAGGGARCAGGGCCAAGCTCCCCATTCCTGGGCCATGGGACACTCCACTGTCCTCCAGGAGACAAAGCCACCTTGCAATAGGGACAGGCTGCCAGTGCACACACAGCTCCCTCTGGCATCCTTACTGAGCTATCCTTACTGAGCTAATGCTCTAAGTGTTCCTTACTGAGGTGCAGAAGTAGCTTTTTTTTCCTCCCACATCCTCAGGAGTTGAAACTGAGCCTCGGGCACTGTTGTTGCCTGCACCCACTGCCCCAAGGCAGGTGGCAGCAGCTCACAGGGGCTGCACGGGCAYGGACACAGGCGGTGGGGCTGGTGGCAGTCGGTGTGGCTGCTGATGGTGTGGCTGGTGGCTGGTGGCAGTGGCATGGGGAGGTCTCAGGGAGATGGGACAGCAGCAGCTCTCTGCAGCACGGTGCCTACACTCCCCAGAGGGCTCATGGAGCAGGCACTGCCCTCCCACAGCTCTGTGTGGTGGCTGGGCACGGCTGGCCCTGCATGGTCACTCTTCTGTGGGTGCAGGAGTGCTGAGCTCAGGGTATGTGAGTCCTTTCTGGCACAAAATGCTGAGGCCAGAACAGATTCTGCAAGCAGCAGTGAGTGCCCTGCCACAAGCTTCRCTGGAGTACAGCATCGCTGTGGTCACCCACGTAGTTCTGGTGCAGGGCTGAATTTACACCGTACTTTAAACATCTTGGAGATGCTTTTCTGAGCCTTGATCTGTCTCTTGCCTCTTTCAGTGACCCCACAAGCTCTGGCAGGGTATCAGTAGCTTTGTGTCCTTGYTTCTGGTGGCTGTCCTCTGCCTCGGGGTGCTGCCCACACCACCTCAGGGGTGCTTCCTGCAGGCCCCATTATGCTCCTGTTCTCYAGAGCACTTCAGCTCTCACCGCTCCCAAGTGTGCACAGTGCAACCAGGGAGTGTGTGGGTAAARGCAAATGATCTGCCTGCTCCCTGGTTCCCATCAATGCTGTGGAATGTCCCACATTTCAGGACTCACCTGTGCCACAGGTCCCAGTTGGTGCAGTGAGAGGTGACARTGCTTTATGGCCACGGCTGGATAAGCTGGGATAAGCAGTGACGGGCTGTGCCAGTAAAGCACAGGATCAAACTTGTGTTCAGGAGCTGATGGCCTGTGCAGGCCACAAGATTCTGCCTGGGAAGGGGAGGTCACAGCTCCTTTCCCATCAAAAAGCCTCCCTGCTTTTTGTGTGAGTGCTCTGGTTTTGGAAAGTCTGGAGCTACAGCCTGTGCTAACATGCACCATGCTCTTCCCTGGTGTCTTTTCAGTCACTATTCAGCCATGGTTATTTAAACTCTCAGATGAAAAATAAATGATTCTTTTGTTTGCCCGTCCCTCTGCTTTGTTTCATTGCTGAGGCAGGAGACAGCGGTGGCCTCTCAGTTTCTCCTGTGATGAAGTGTGGCATTGTGCAGTGCWGCAGGATGGAGCCTCCATCTCCTGGCGGCACAGCCACATGGCAGCCGGGCTGTGCCTGCAGGAGCTGGCCCAGCACAGGGACCAAAAGCTGGCCCAGGAAACTGAGGGGAGCCTTGGTGTGTGGGGGGCTCCTGCCAGGCTCAGCCCCTCTGGCCACCGTGGGACACAGGTTTATCCACAGTCATCTCAAGGCTTCTTTGGGCTGCCAGGGCAGGGAAGCAGGTTCTGTGTGGGTTCTCTCTCCGAGACTTAAMAATTTTTGTCCTCATCCTGAAGGTTCTCACAAGGTTATTTTAGTGCATTTCTGCCCAGTGAAGCCTCAGCACCATCCAGCATGTTTTCCAAGCTTTACTACCCCACAGGCCWTTTCAGGAGGGGGGAAGCTTAGGGGTGTTCTCTCACAACCTCTGATAGTGGGSTCAGCATGTTTGCACTCTCCCAAGGGTACCTCAGAGCTGAATCTTTGTGTAGTCCCCCAGAAGGCCACATTCAAAGTATTTTTCACAAGTAGTAAAAAGATTGTAGCAGTTCTCAGCATTGCAGCTGCAACTGGAAGCCCAGGGATTTTTCCTTTCAGAATTTACCCCTTATATCACTTTTCTCTCCTCCGGGCTCCTTGTGAATGTCAAGTTTCTGGAACCAAGGGAGACTTCATACAGACATTAATTTTTTSTTTTGTAAATGATTTWAAAAGATTTACARGGGAATTGCAAATGGATCTGAGCAAAGATTGAAAAGCACCACAAAAGAGAAAACACTTTAGCAACAAGAGGAGAGCACAGAGCTCTGCCAGCATGCCTGCAGGGTCTGCCAGGCTGTTATTCACCCCTCAGTGCACTGCCAGCCCTTGCCCATGGCAGCTGGGGGGACACTGGCCCCTGGCTGATGGGCTGGGGGACACTGATGTGCTGCTGAGGCTGTGGCCCTGCTCTCTGGGCTCTGCACCTGTGCTGGCTCTGTGCTTATGGCACCAGAGAGGTTTAACTAAAGGTGCCAGAGCCACCTCCAGAGTCAGCTCTTCAAAGCCCTGGCTGCACGTGCAGGGCCTGGGAGCTGCTGGCACAGCGTGGCTYGGCCCAGGTCACCAGCTGCCTGCAGTTCCTGGAGTGCTCACAGACAGCAATCACTTCCCAGTGTCAAGTGCTCTCAATTGCCCATCATTTTGGAATTGTGCATGTTTTTCCCCAAGACTGTTCTCCTTTCCAAAGGTTCTGTGTCCAGGGCCCCAYTGTGCATCCCCTCAGAAAGCTGGAGATGCAGTTTGTGTGGGACACCTGTGTCTGCAGGACAGTGGCAGCAGACCCTTGCAGAAGGGGCACGGTGGTGGCAGGGGTGCCTCCCTGATGGCAGGGGCTCCAGGGGCACATGTGCACCCTTTTGGGGTCAAGGTTACAGCTGGTGGACAGCCCGAGCTGTCCGTGTGGCCACCAGACCTGGCTGGAAGGAGGGCGGTCCTCACTCRCAGGTTTTTCCCAGAAGTCTGCGTTCAAACACAGCCTGAGGAAGTGGCAGCTGCCCCAGAGGTCCTGTSCCTCCAACAGGAGTGACACCTGAGGAAGAGTGTGGGGAAGGAGGGGCAGTGAGAGGGGAAGTGGCTTTTCCTGGTCCATGTACCTCTCAGATCACAGCAAGCTCCCTGAGCTCACCCCGTGTCCCCTGAGCTGTCTGTGCCTGACTGTGGCTCTCTCCCCAGGTGTCCCTCAGCCACGAGTGCACTCGTGCCATCATGAAGCTGATGTACTGCCCGCACTGCCGGGGCATGTCCAGCGTGAAGCCGTGCAACAACTACTGCCTGAACGTCGTGAAGGGCTGCCTGGCCAACCAGGCTGACCTCAGCACCGAGTGGAAGTACCTGATGGGTAAGAGGGCCTTTCTCTGCTGCAGCACAGCTGCCCCTCCCCTTGCAACTCTCTGAGGCTGTTTGGAGAGTGAAGAGGATGGTGGCGGCTCAGGGGAGTTRTTTGCGATGGTAAAGCTCCCAGTACACCCACAGAGCATCACTCAGGCTCCTCTTTCTCCCTCACACTGTACAGGCACAGCTGGGGTGAGCTGAGACTGAGGGAGCCTTGGTGATTGTCTGGGCTTAGGGAAGGCACCAGAGGCGATGGGCTTGGGCTTGGCCTTTTTTTCCCTTGCTTTGGCACCCACTGCCTGGCCAGCAGAGTTGCCAGCTCACCTCCCAGCTGCAGCCCAGCAGGCTGGCTCAGGGTTGGCATGTGCTGCTGTTAACAACAACCCTGCTGAAGTTCAAGGAGTGTCACCTGCCACTCGAGGGACACKGCAGAATAAAGACAGAGGCACAGCAGGGCGAGGCCGGGGCGCTGCTGGAGAGGTGCCCGGGCCAGCTGTACCACGGCTAACTGGAAACACTCCCCATGAGAGACTGGGGGGCTGCTGAAAAGGAGGGGCAGGAATAGTCCCTTCCCCAGGGACTCTCCCTTTGGCCTTTGTGACCAGAGCCAGCCAACTGTTTCTGTCACTCTCCTGGCAGGATGACGGCCTGTCTCCTCAAACGTCACTGTGCAGCTTTCCTTGATTGACAGGGAAGCAATTCCGTGTGCATTCTGCACTTATTCTGGCTTCCTCTTCCCACAAGACTCTGTCAGGGGGTGACAGCCAGGAGGAAATTGGAGCTTCTTTCAAATTGCAGTTGTACATTTCAGTGTCAGAGGTCACAAATCGATCAAGGATGGGTGCAAAACGTGTAGTCAAAGGCAGCAGTTTGCTGCTGTTGTCCATCCTTCACCCTTCTCCAGGCCCTTCTGTGTAGCCAGATATGATTTTGTTATGCTAAATACAGAGTTACTCTTCCAGTTTGACAAATTAGGGCAGATTGAATTAAGGGATATTTTTATAGTAAGCGGTTCAATTATAATTTGTAGCCTTTGATTTAAATATCTGCATCTCAAAATTAGTGCCTCTGCAAGACACTATTTGTCAGAAATACAGTCTCAAAGATGACACCACAGCCCCTGGGTGGCAGCAAAGCTAAACTGCAACCTTTTCAGTGTTGCAGGAGATTTTATTTTCCAGAATACTAAAAAAGTCACCAAAATTTACCCCCATATATTGAGGGCATATAGACTGTCCTTCCTTCAGACCCAGCTGGAGTGTTGAAAATTGTCTCTGGAGATAGGCAGAGATTGGTAATTCTTTGTAAGGCCCAGTCCCAAAGCTGCCACTCAGGCAGGAACTTCCAGGCCAGATGGGAGTGCTTGGACATCAGAGCTTTCCAAGAGGAGCTGAGAGCAAGAGGCAGCCCTCAGTCAGTGCTGTCCTGTTTATCAGTTAGCTGTGGCCATACTGGTCTGCTTCTCTACCTGTACAGCTTGATATTTCCCTGGCTGTTGTCCTTCCAGAGGGGAAGGTGAGAAKAATTACACCTTTTCTGACTCCTTCACTGCCACAGAAGCTATTTCCCACATCCACTACCTCTGGCAYCTTATTGACCCCATTTTTCCCACATTCCACTGGCTGCAATGCTTTGGTGAAGACATGCTCTGAGTCAGGAAGGTGAGGGCCAAGTATTGCTGTGTGTTTCTTGATAATTCTGCCCCAGTTTTCTGGGTTTCCCTTCTGTATCACCCAGGGAAATGCTGGTTTCTTTGGGTGCACATTGTACCCAAAGTGCATTTACCATTTACAGGAGGCTCCTCTRACACAGAGAGTGGCTTTGCTTACATAAAGTTAGGAAAACAAGGATGCACGTGGGCAGCAGTGAAAATGGAGAGGTGTCTCCCAAGGAGGAGACCTGCCAAGGGCTCAGCAGCTTCTCCCACTCAGCAGGAGCATGATCTTTACCTTGGCTGGCCCAGAGTGTGATGATGAGAGCTGTCCCTGCCTTGTTTCACAGATTCCCTGATCGGGGTGGCTGATCGCATTGATGGACCCTACAACGTGGACACTGTCATAGGAACCCTTCACATGAGGATCTCTGAAGCCATTTCCAACCTGCAGGAAAACAAAGATTCCATCACAAGCAAGGTAAAAGTGTGTGCCTGGGCCTGGCTGAGGACACATCATGTGCAACTGCTTTTTGTGCCCACTGTTCAGCTGAACTGGAGGATGAAGAGTGAAAGAGAGCAAATGCCTACTCTTTTAGTGATAACTTACCTTTGTTTCCCACCACCCATCTGACACAGCCAAAACCCTTGCAGGTGTTTCCAAATACTGCCCTGTATTGGGAAGGGCAATATTCCTGCTGCTCCCTGCCACATGCAGCCAGCCCCCTTTGTGTACAGCACAGGAGGTGGGACTGCAGTGRCAGGGGGAGGCCATGTGCCATTTGCTGTCAGGGGCCTCTGTGCTGAAGAGTTTGAGATGTTTTGGCTGAGCTGARGCATTTACAGAAAGTGCACATTCCCCAGAGACAGGAGGCAGCTGCTTTAACCTGCCTCAGGGGATGTTCTGCAGTACAAACACTGGGCTATCAGGTTGTACTGTGGGACAGAGTTGCAATCTGGCAGTCCATCTGGACAGTACAAACTGAGCCTCTCCTGAGGCTCACCTGTCTTCAAGAAGTATGTATCATGAAGGTCTCTTCTGTTGGTCTTCTATTTTTAGTATATTTATCCACTTAAMCACAATCACCTCTATAGCTGCAGGTAAGAGAAGCTTTGGGAACAAAAGCAGCCCTCCAGGGGCTGCCTTTTGCCCAGACACTCCCCAGGTCCTGCAGCTATSCCACAGTCAGGGCAGAGATGCAGATGAAAGAAGCAGACAGGTCCTGACTGGGTTTTGGATAAGGGAAGGGCCAGAAGTATTGCTTGGCARACAGGAGTTCACTGGCACACATCAAAGCACTAACAGGAGCATGCATCCAAATAGTGGGTTAGGTTTCTTTTCTGACATGAAAGGCCATGTTCTTTTTTCCCCTGTTAGGTGAGATTGAGGCTTTCCACATAAAAGCAAATCCATGATGTGGGAAAACATAGCATCATCTGCAAAGAAAGGTGATTCCAAGGGGAATACAGTAAATCTGGTGAAGTAAAAAGGGCTAAATAGTCTAACTGGGATTTGATTGGAGCAACCAAATGTTTGATAGGCTCCTCAGTATGACCTGGTGACCAGGTGAATGGAGCACTCTTTGCTGGTGGCACAGATAGCAGAGGGCAGGAGCTGCAAAAGCCCTGAGCTCTGTTTCTGAGCATGGCAAAGCCATCAGATGAAGGGTGTCATTGTCAGCTGAGTTTGGGACTGTCCCAGGCTAGTCCTGGCCATCTCCCCTCACAGAGCCAAGGGCAGCAGGTTGGGCTGTAGCTGAAGGCTTCAAACATGAGCCAGGCCAAGAGCACTGTGGTGCAGGTAACCTCCCAGTCTGACCRGTCAGAGGCACTCTGGCAGTCCCACTCCCACCAGCAGAGACTGTCACTGCTGGGACTGCAGCCCCTAAGAGTGGTGGGTCACAACCCCACGGGTCCCTGCTTGACTCCTGCACTCCCCACTCTCAGCCTGACCAGGTCTCACTGGTTCACCCCATGGCAGAGTCTCAGATCTCTCATTCCATAAAGTCATTTATTCACAGTGCAGTAAGACACAAACTGGAAAGAAGCACCTGTGGTACTGAGCCTTGTATTCAGGGCAGCAGGGAGCACTCTCCCTGCTTCCTCACACTCCTCTTTCTCCCTGTGGCTCTCATGGATTTCAGGCAGCAGGAGCTATCACAGGCTGCAAACACCTATTTGCTCTCATTATTCAGGAGACTGTTGACCCCCTCAGTCTGCAGAAGGTGTGTTTGGTCCAGCAGTAATTTGCATTTCTCACCTGAAGGGTTTTGGCAAAAGGTTTGCCTTGGTACCACACTGCTGGAGCTGCTACAGGAGCCCCTGTCCTGGAGAGCTCCCCACACTTTACCTCCTGGAAGAGGCCATCTGCCAACAGCAGCAATAGGCCAAGAAGATACAGTAGTGAAACCAAGGTTCTGTTTTGGTAGAACCAAGTTGAAAATGTTCTACATGTTTTTTTTTGCACAGAGCAAATGAGACTGATGAACAAATTGCCTTGGTGCTGACCTGGCAGAGTSACTGGATCCATCTGGTCAGCAGGACAGGGCACCCAGGAGGGCTTTGGGAGGCTGAATGTCCCTCAGACACACTGCCATGGGACTCCTGGCTGGGTTAGGACCCTGCTGTCAGAACCCACGGGTCAGTGCATTCAGTGGGTGGCACGAGCTGTGTCAGCAGAGCTCCTGGCTGCCAGCCTGCCTCCTCTGCTTTAYGGGGACACCAGCCAAAGTCACGTTTAGCAATAGCTTCTGACAGCACCCTGGCAACCACAACAAGCTTGCAGCCCTCTTTTTAAATCAGATGGCTTCCTTTGTCAAGGCTGGCATTTTCTGACTCAAACTGACAATGTGAAGTCCCTCCTGACCTCTGGTGCCTCCAGCCTGGCCTTCTGAGCACCAGTGAGGCTCAGCTGCCYGGCCCTGGTGATCTGCAGCAGAGGAGTTGCTGCCTGGACTGGAGATTGGGAGAAGTGGGTGTTTTCAGGACACCCTTCATCTCATCCTAGAGGCCAGCTCTGAGGAGTTGTACCTTTCAAATGCTTCTGCTGCCCTCTGGCTACAAAGCCCACCTGGACAGGTAGTTAGGATGATAGGAGGTACCTGAAGATAAAAAGTAAATCAATTCTGTCTCATGTGTCTCTGAAACATCCAACCTGACAGACTGTGGCACATCTGCTGTCCTTGCACTGCCCTGGCTGGAGGGACATCATTTACCAAGTGTGGATGCTGACTGCAGCAGTCATGGGGATAGTCCCACGTTGATCTGTTGTCCATCAATGAAAGCTCCTATGTTCTGTATACTCTTGAGGCCCACACCAYTGATGTAATGAGTGTGAGCAGCTCCCATCTTGTTCTTCCCAGGATTTTATTTTCCAATCATAAGAAGAACAGATAGAATTGCCATAAATAATTTARTATCAATATTGGTGACTCATCCAAAAACATGTGTTAGTGCTGAATATTTTGCTTCATAGTGGTAACCAAAAYCAGTTCCAATGTGCTAAAAACACATCTGGCACCAGAAACTAYGCCAGAATCTCTGAGATCTTGGCAATAGGGAGGAYAAATATACTTAAGGAAAAAGCCCCRTAACTGTGGAATGTTAAATAAWTAAAAGATTAGAATYAAAACATGSGATAGAGAGTTTTGTTGGTTTTTCAGGTATTCCAAGGCTGTGGAAATCCCAAAATCAGCACAAAAGGCTCAAGTAGTGAGGACAAGAAGAGACGGGGGAAGGTGCCATTGGAAGCCAAATCCTCTGCACAAGCACTGGAGATGCTGGTGAGTTTCTGTCTGGAGCTGTGTCCAGGGCAGGTGTGCCCTGGGAGCCCGGGCAGCCAGCCCTGGGTCCTGCAGGTCAGGTCACACCACCCTGGGGGATGCTGAGTCTGGAGAAGAGCAGACCATCCATCAAGTGCTGGTGTGACCCAAGCAGACCTGGTCTTGCCTCTGCACAGGGTTGGGTCTAAGTTGCTGATAATCAATGTCCCAGGGATTTGGTGCCAAACTTTTCTGAAGAGGCTCCTGGTCTACTGAGAGTCTGACCGTCTTCTCCTCCTTGTAGAACAGTCTGGAACAGACTGGAACAGTCCTGTGCATGTAACCTTTAGCCTTGGCTGTTTGGGTTGATGGTTGGTCTTTAGGGGAAGGTTGATGGCACATCCTTGTTCACATAAAAACATATTTTGTGATGGCAAAACAAAAATTAGGCAGAATCCTTGTACTTTCCTCAGCCCTGAGGCACCCCAGAGCTCTCCTGGTCCTGAGCATCCCTTTTGCTTACAGGTTTTAGATGCCAAAGGGAATCTGACAGCTCTCAAGACATACTGGATCACCCTGCCCAGCAGCCTGTGCAGCAARAAAGTAATGGCCAGCTCAGCATCAGATGACAAGTGTTGGAACGGGATGACCAAGGGCAGGTATGGAGAGTGTCAAATGCCAGGATAGCACCAGCCTGGGGTGAGAGGAAGAGTTTGGGAAGGCATTTACACATCATCACAGCCAGCCCCGCTTGTTCAGAGTGAGCAGTTTGTCCCTGTCCATAGAAATGCTGCATCTCCTGCAAAGCTGGTACCTGGGAATGTCAAGCCTGGGGTCATTTTGTTGTGTGTTGAGGGTTARGCACTGAAATGCATTCACCATGAAATAACTGTGTGGTTTTCTACYCAGGAAGCAGTTTTGCAATCYCACATGCACTCAGRAGGCAGYRGRGCTGGATTTACYTCACAAGCTCCAGAGCTGCTGCRCAGAATTGCACAGAATTCTGTCCCKSTATCCATACCTGCTCTGAAATGCTGTTCTCTCTGAGAGGGTGACTTCAAACAGCTGCAGAAACAGTTCCTACCCCAGCCAAGGTTAAAGGATGGCTGAGGGGAGACTGGCAGCTGAGGGGAGACTGACAGCTGCTGGACATGCACCTTTCTCCTCGTCTCTCCACAGACCTCTTGGGCTTGGCTTTGCCAGCCTGAAGTCAACACCTTCAGCTTTTCCATATTTCACRTTGTTGCCAGCAGTGTCACAGATCTGCAGCAGCAGGAGAACCAGGGCCCTGCAGAAGGCAGCAGTGCAGCTCTGGTTGACAGCTCCCAGCTAACTAAAGCTTCCTTGGGAGCCTGTCTGGTCAAACTGGGCTGGGGCCATTCAGTGGTCCCAKGGTGTCAGTCTCCCCAGGGTTTAACCAAGCAGGGATTAAAGTGCTCCTCAGCCTCCCATATGGACAGAGATTTTCCATAGGGGACTATCACTGTGGGTCTGTTGGTACCAGTCTGAGAGCACCCCTCTGCAGGAAATCCTTCCCCATACTGGGACAGGGATACTGCAAAGCCACCAGCCCCCCTCCTCCAAGCTGAGACCCCTCTGCTGGAGTCCGGCATGGCTCAGCCATCCAGAGAGCTGGCTGCCTTCAGCAAACACCAGCTACAGAGACTGTTCCATACACCAGTGGCACTGACTGCAGCCTCTCTGGGGTTCACAGAGGCTGGATCATCACTGCTGGATTATCTGTAGGGAGAGCTGAGCTGAGCTGAGCTGAGCTGAGCTGAGCTGAGCTGAGCTGAGCTGAGCTGAGCTGAGCTGAGCTAGGGGAGGCATCTAAACCTTTTGCCTTCCTTTGTAGTTACCTGCCCGAAGTGATGGGGGATGGCTTGGCTAACCAGATTAACAACCCGGAGGTGGAGGTGGACATCACCAAGCCAGATATGACCATTCGCCAGCAAATCATGCAGCTCAAGATCATGACAAACCGGCTGGGCAACGCCAACATYGGGAATGATGTGGATTTCCAAGACACAAGTGAGTGTAGCAGAACCTGTTCGAGGGGGGCGAGAGGAGCCGAGCATTCCTGCAGCCTGCACAAATGTCCCTKCAGATGCTGCTGCTGGCCCTGGGGGCAGGAGGGGCTGTGGCAGCCCAGCTTTTGGCTTGGGGCTGCCCAGGAGCTGCACCTTGTTGTGGGGTGGCTGGAGGCTGTGCTGTTCCCAGTGCTTTACTGAAACCTGGGGAGCTGTCTGCAATGTCAGCCCTGCTGACAAGGCCATTGCTCCTGTCTGCTCCAGAGGTTTCCAGCTGCTGCAGCAGCGGGTGGTCAAAGGCAGCAGGAGGTCAGGTATGAGCTTGTATCCCACATAGAGGAATGCAGAATGCAGAGAAGGGGYGGTGGCCGGGGTAGGGTTGGTGGCCAGAGCTCTGTGGGGGTGCAGCAAGGGCAAGGCAGGGATGTTGCCCACCCTAAGGAAAACAGTCTGTGCTCACCCCGTGTTTGTCTCTGTGCAGGTGACGACATGAGCGGCTCCGGGAGTGGGGACAGCTGTCCTGATGATGTCTGTGGCAAAAGACTTTCTAAGAGCCCCAGCACCAGGCAGCCAGAAACACACGCTATTCCTAAGCAGTCTGGACATGGTGTCAATGGGGCCAGCAGCAGATCTTTGCCTTCTGCCTCCCTCCTCCTCCTCCTCTCGGTGGCTGTCATCGCCGCACAGCACTTGTGGCGGTAACTCACTGGCACAGCCAGGAAACAGACTGCGGCTGAGGGCTTCACTTTGCCAAAACCAACCAACCAACCAACCAACCAACCAACCAACCAACCAACCAACCAACCAAAGGACATATTTAATTCACCTTGGCAAAAAAAAAAGGAAAAAACAAAAAAAAATGGAGGAGAAAAAGGTTTCAAAAGGTTTCAGTTGTTTGCTATTTCTGGCAGTGCTCGAGCTGTTCTCTTCTTTCTCGGTCTTTCCCCAATGCTGGGCCCTTCTTTCCGTACCTCATTGTTTTACTTTTGTTATTGCCACAAACTGGCTCTTGGGGCTGAAACAAGCCCTTGCAGAGGGCTCCAGGGGAACTCGGCCAGCCCCTCRGAGGGCAGCTGTCCTGCTGCCTCCAGTGGAATATGCAATTGCCCTGCCCTCGTTGCCCAGCGCGGGCCGGAGCAGCGCCGGCTCCTGACGCCGACAGACTGGGATCCTCGGCACGGCTCAGTGCTGCATTCAGGGGCTCTTTCGGGTTTTTCCTCTGTGCTTCCGAGGTGGGCAGAGATGGCCCTTCACTTCCAGCCGTGGGCATAGGAGCGTGAGCAGGTTTGGTGGGTTGAACTGAAACAGTTTGGCAGTGGCTGTTGGACCCAAAAATGCAGAACTCCCTTTTTCTTTGAAAAGGTCACAAGTGGGTTTCTTGACTAGAGCTCGTAGCTGATGACAATTTGAAATGTAGGTTTCCTACATCTAAGTGACTGGGATGAGTGTTAGGGGTTGGGGTTTGGGGTACTTTTCTTTGCATGCTAGTTGGAAAGCCATTTTTTACCCAAGTAACAAAGGTCCAATTTCTACCTGCAGTGCAGTACCATCATAGGTAACAGAGAGATATGCACAGTGGGATTCTCTGTGTGACAGACAGTTGTGCTGCCTCSTCCTTCTCTGGTCCCAGCCATGGACAGGAATCTCTTTTTTTTTCTTGGTAATAAGAAAGACCAGGGACGTTTTACTAACTGGAGCTCTGGGACTGGTTGTGGCCCCTCAAGCAGGTGCCTCAGGGCAGAGAGGAGCTGGTGGGGATCACCTTGGGCAGTTCCCTACCCARAGCCCTGGCTCAAGGCAGCACCTGCCAGGGGGAATGTGAAGATGGGACATATTTTGTTAGGGATTTCTTTTTACCTTTGGTGTTTGTTCCAGTTGTACTGTCGGTTTTTAATGATCCCCATTTTCTCTGTTCCTTCCCCATYATCCAATACACCTTCCCTAACCCCTGCAGGCACAGGCTGAGCCAATGGGTCAGCACCCACTGACAGCTCCGTTTTGGCTCAGGGGAGGGCCAGGCTCACCCTTTGCTGTTCCATCCCACCACTCACCAGCCTTTGGGTGAGGTGGGTGGCTGCCCTAAGCCTGAAATGCTTGGTGGGGTRGGCTCTGTGCCAGGTTTGGAGACTGGGGGTGGTGAGTAAAGTTATAAATATACACTCACATAGCTGTAGGAGTGTCTGTGCTTGTAGGGCTGTGTGTCTGGGGCTTCCAGAGGCTTCTGTGCATGGGCTGGAGGTGTAGATGTAGCAGATGTTAGATCCAGCACAGTCACTGTGGCTGCTTGGGCCCAGAGCACACACAGGGGTTGGGTTTGAGCTTCAGGGTTTGTAYTGGGGTAAGAGGGAGGGCAGAGCTGGGCCTGTCTCTTTACTGGGCCTGTGCTTTACTGGTCTGCACAGCATTTGAGCATTTCTTGTCTGTCCTGCCAGAGGAGATGTGCCTTTGGGCTGAGCAAACATTATGAGGTTGGGGTTTGGCTGTTTTCTAAGAAAGGGGRAAAAAAMMMCCCATTTTTAACATTAGCAGTTTCTAAAGAGTGCAATTTAAGGGAAGGTGAGGATATGAACAAGGTAATGCTCGATAGCCTGTTCAGGGAGCTCATTTGCTGCCCTCCCTGGGGCGGGGTCTCACCTGGGTGAGGCCCAGTGGTGGTGCTGGGGGTGCCTCAAACTAGGCAGAGACTTTAGGCCAGCTTTGACCAGCCTGTCCAAGCCACAGTGACTAATGTCACTGACTGGGCATCCTTTCTGCCTTGGCCTCACCTTGTTCTCAGGTAAAGTCATACCTGATCTGGTAGGGTGTCAGAAATGAACACCAGGATGCTGGACAATGGCTGAAGGACAGACAATGCCACTAGAGCCATCAGAACTCTGGAGAGGATAAATGCAAGGTGTGGTTTTGTCTAGGTTTATTTACTCCTAGACATATGGCAAGCTCACATGATTTTTACTGCTCTGAAGAGTTTCTATCTTTTTAATTTTTTTTTAAAATTAGAATTGCAACAATCCTCAGAACCAATCCTTCAGAAGCTTTRTATCCAAAGCTGAAAATAAGGGGGAGGGAGGAGGAATTAAAACATTGTACCCTCTTCAAAACACGGTTGGGTTGGAATTTTAACACATGGACACTGAGATCAGTGGGTTTTTTTGCAGAATGGGAGCTTGAAAGTCCCCGTCACTTCCGTTTCTGTGCAATTAGTTTTTGCTGTCTGCCTGTTATCCTCAAAAGCTTCTTATGGCCCCTTCACATATTAAATGTGAAACCAGGAATTTATTGATTACCCAATTAATATTTTAACAATTTARTAGCCCAAACTAGTGGTTCTGTTACAAGAAAAAAAAAACCCAATGGTGCAAATTAATAAGGCAAAACCTCAAAGAAACTGTAAAAGCTGTCATGCAGTGGAAACCCTTCCTYATGTCTTCGCTCCTGGGCTGGGGCTGAGCTCCCACTTGCACATCCTCCAGGCACTGAGGGTGGCAGCTTCACCCTGCAGAAGCCAAGGCAGGCTGAGACTGGGGCAGTGCCTGAGCTCTGGGCCAGCAGGGGAGGGCAGTGCCAGGGGCTCAGGCTGCTGTGCAGGAGGAGCACCATGATGGTGGTGAGGCTTCCTCCTCAGCCCTGCGTCTGCTGGAGTTTATTTTTTGTATTTATCCCTGGTTGATGTACACTGCTGCTTTGTGTTGGTCCCTGGTTACTCAGTTTTTCTGTTCTCTTGCCCTGAAGTGGTCTCCCCAGCTGGTGCCATTAAGTGGCCTGRGGTTGTTTTTGGCCATGTCACCTTCCCCAGGGGCTGAAACGGCCGAGAGCCCCCAGGATGTTGGCTGGGTATCCTCTAAACTAAACCAAACTGTACTTACTGATGGCTAAAAACCACTGGTGAGGCTGAACAAGCTGAAACCAACCCAGGCCCAGACAAGCCCCAAGCCTGTGCTCGGGCTGGCGCAGAGCCTGGGACCTTTCAGTGCTTATAAATGACATTTCCTGGGCTACCACTTGCTGGAAAACACTGTGACACACCTCCTCTGCCCTGTGGCTGGTGGCTGCTCTGAGCTGGCTGCATGAGGGGACCTCTGGGGAACTGGGCTGGCTGGGGAGAAACATCTGCTTCAGTGTCACAAAGATGGTGATCCATGGTGTTCTGGTGTGAAAAGGCCTCATATTTGACAGGGCTGTGGAGGAATTAGTGGTCTAGGACAAAATATTTAAAAAGGCCCCATCCCTGGGAAGGGGAGAACCACAAATGGTGGATTTCCAAGTGTCTCTGTCTTTCAGCCTGCTCTTTGTGCCATAACGTGTACGTTTTAAACAATGGTGAGGGTCTCAAAAGACTTTGAGAGCACAGCTACTTCTCATTTACAAATGACAAGCTGCCTGTTGTTTTCYGGTGGGCTTGGTAGGGGCTAAGGTAAAGCAGAATATCTAAAGTCCACCTTTGCTTTAAACAGATGCATTTCTATCTGCAGGAGTAAGAATTATTTCACTTATCAGCATAGCTGGACAGTTATCTATTTCTTTCTGTTACCAAGGTACTTGTAACTCTCTTGCACTGTTTATCTAAAGTTGAAATATGTTCTTTGAATCCTTGTATAAATAAAAAGGCTGGAGACAAATCTGTATTTACAGGGGCAATTATTTCTTCACCATTTAAGCTCAGTCTGGCATTTTCTTTCTTTTTCCCTTGTTTAAGGCACAGGTAAAAGCCAGGTCAGGAGGCCTGAGGAATGAAACTCTGTTTCAGCCACATTAAGTCTGTAATGGGCTGATGCCAGTGTTGGCAGTRGGGATTTGCCCACATTCCTGTGTGGTTCAGAGGAGCAGCTGCTGGGTTGTATGGATGTTTTAGGAACAAGGTGAGGCTGGYTTGAGTCATCAAAGGATCCCAAAGAGGATCCCAAGTGATCTCTTTCTCATCTAGAAGCACAGAAAGTCATGGCATAACAGTATAAAGAATCAGAAATACCCCTGGTATTTGTCATTTCAAAGTGGTGTAATTATGGACCACCAGTGCAGGAGTTGGAAGGGCACAACAGAAAGCAAAGCAGCGATGGGGATGTTTGATCTCCAGCATGTGCTTGAGACTGAACTGGTGCAGCAGGAAGGTTTGTGCTTCAGCTCTGTCCACTTCCACAAGTGGGTGATTGCAGCTGTCAAGGTAACGTTTTGGAAGCTGCTCATGAAATGTCTAAGAGAGACTTGGTAACTGGAAACTATTMTAAGTGTATCCTTCTGCCTGGAAGCAAATATCACCGAAATTTAATAAACTGACTGATACCCTTGAGTGAGTAGGTATTTATTTAGGTTTCTGTCCTGCAGCTACAGCTATTTGCACCATATGCACACATTCATACRAATACAGACAAGTGCAAAAACACAGGCCCTCTCGTTGGAGAAGTTCTGTGCATGGCAGTCACCTGCTTTGCCTYCTTGGTGTCTAATTATGATCTGAAATAATGGCCACTTATGGCTCTGAGTTTACTAAAGGTGTCTGAAATCATATCTGCAGGTCATAATGTCACCAAACACTGCATGTTTGCAGATCCACTGCTAAGAGCTTGCAGGAGATGTAGGGTGTTATACAAGCTCAGCTCCCACCTCCCTGCAGCCACACATCACTGCTCCCCTGGGCATGGAAGGCTTCAGGGGGCTCCAAGAGCAGCCCAGCACATACAGGGAGCTCACCAAGGCAGTGGGGCCAGGCACTTAGCAGGTGACAAGAGGATGAGACAGCCTTTGTGACTGGAGCTGTTGGCACTGGACCCCAACTGGTGGAGCCASACCAAGACCAGAAACCCCCAGCAAAATCTGCACTGAGGCATCAGACCTTTTCTAGCAAGGCCATGAGGCTGTTACCCTACAGTTCAACCAGAAGATGGCATTTGCCTTTAGCTTATAAATTGCTCTGTTGTAGTGACAGCTGCCCTGTTCCTAACTTCTCTGCACGGTACATGGCACATACAGGGCGGGCTGGTGGGARCGGACAATCTTTCTGGCATGAATGAGCATCCTTCGCTCAACTGTAGGCAGGCCATGAGTAAACACCCATAGCCTGAGAGTGAGGGAGCTCAGGTGCAGCCCCAGTGACATCTGCTGGTGCTAATGTGGCARGAACGCTGCCCTGGGATTCTATCACGAAGGGAACACGTGGAGCAGTGCTGGGATGAGCTGCAGGAACTGGTAAACCAGTTAGTCACATCAGGTTTGTCTGCGAAATCCCAGAGCAATCTGATGGGCTATTGCCACCCAAACAGATCAGCAGAAGGTTCATGGCACAGCAAGTGTGACGCCATGAGAAATGAAGGTCATGATTTTGGTATGAACTGGAGGGTGCCTGTAAAGCACCATCCAGAGACTCTTTGCAGGGGCCCAAGAAAGCCCAGTGATGAGTGCAGGCAGAAGGATGAGCCTCTTGCAGTTTCTGGGAGGGAGGAGGAAGGTAGGGCAGCAGCTGGCTCCTTGCCCAGTGTGGGGAACTGGCATGTGCCTGTCCCACAACGAGATCTCTGGCAGTGACTCCAGAAGGGCTCCTCACATGAATGCCAGCATCACAGCCTGGGAATAAAGGGTGTGCCATGGAAATGCTAAATTGGCCAAGAGCCAGTGCCAGGGAGGGTCCAAAAACCCTGGAAACAATGGCTGCGAAGGATTCCAGGAGCCCTCCCCACACTGCTGGGGCAGGCAGCATCAGGGCAGCGCTCTCCTGCTGAGCTTCCTCCTTTGCAGCTGCAGGGTACCAGCCTGAACTGTGCCTCCCGGGGCCAGCAGAGCCTTGCACCCRCCTCATACCATGAGCAAAGGAAACAAGGGGGCAGATGAATGAGCCTGCATGTGGGAGCTGAGGATAACAGCAGGGGACACCATGCTCATACAAGAGAGACATCTCCTTTGGCCCCAGAACCAACATCTCACTGACAGGCTGTTACTGACACAAATGATGGCAGGTGTGTGGCAAGTCGACTTCTCCTTCCTCCAAGGTCAAATAAAAGGTCATCCTTGTACCTCACTTTTAATTCCTTAATGGGTGCTGCGTTTCACATCAGTCTGTGCTCTGCTGCTGCCATAATCCAGGTTCATTTTTGTGTCAGCAGCAAGTATCAGTCAAGTGCTTCTGTTTTTCCTGAAAGTAAAGGGTTCCAGCCTCCAGGAAGCAGCTGGCACCTGCGAGCAGCCCTTCAGCACCTGCCTGGCACTGGCTGATGTGACCTTCACCTGGCTGGGCTTGGCCCATCCCCACCCCTCCGGTGCAATTCAAACCCATGTCAGCACACTCCAGTGCAAGATACTCTCTGCCCTGGCACTATACCAGCAATTCTACTGAAGTCCAGAAAGATTAGCACTATGCTATCTGGCCAGCCTAGTAAATCATTTTCTGGGTACTCAAAAGATGCTTTTGTTGTAGGCAAGGGGCACTGAGATGCTCTGGAGAAGATAATATCAATCACAGAATCACAGAATGTGCTGGGTTGGAAGGGACCCACAGGGATCATTGAGTCCAACTCCTGGCCCAGCACAGGACAATCCCCAGAGTCACACCATGTGCCCAAGATTTTGTCTGAACACTTCCTGAACTSTCAGGCTTAGTGCTGTGCCCACTGCCCTGGAGAGCCTGTTCCAGTGCCCAGCCACCCTCTGGGGGAAGAACCCTTTTCTAATATCAAATCTAAACCTGATGCAACTCCARTGTTGCATGGCTGCACCAACAGCATCACCTTGCAGCAGTAGAATTCCCGTGCAGAACACGGGAAGGTAATGCAGGTAAGCATCTGCAGGGGATAATGCAGGTAAGCAGCTGCTGTSGGGGTAGGGAAATCCTGTACAAATCCACCGGCTTTCCAAGTGAGCTGTGGACTCTCCAAGTATTTCCAGCTTTCCAAATGCAGCTGTCGGGATGCAGCCGGCACTAGGACCTGCGCCCCAGCCTGTAGAAGCGGATAAATATAGCAGAGCGCGGGCGGGCGCGCCGCCGCTGGAGCCCCGCACCGCCACCCCGGTGCCCCTCGGCCGCCGATGCTGCAGCTCTGCAAGGTCACGGCCTCGCTGCTGCTGGGCACGGCCCGGGCAGCGTGCGACGAGGAGCTGCTGGCACGGGAGGGGGTCACCTTCTGCATCAATGTCACCCGGCAGCAGCCGTTCCCCGGGCTGCAGCGCGTCCGCGGCATTCGCGTGCCCGTGTTCGACGACCCGGCCGAGGATCTGTACCGCTACTTCGAGCCGTGCGGCGCCGCCATCGAGGAGGCCGTGCGGAGCGGCGGCAAGTGCTTGGTTTACTGCAAGAACGGCCGCAGCCGCTCCGCTGCCATTTGCACGGCTTATCTSATGAGACACCGGCAGCTCCCGCTCAAGGACGCATTTGAGGTAATGTACCTACGTCCAGATATTTACACTTCTTCTGGGGAAGAACTGCAATGCTTGTTATGAGTAATGATTATTTATGGTAGAATTATTTCGGTGGTTTCACTTGTCCATTACCAGTTATAGAAAGAGTCAACATTTGAATAAACAAACCCCTGTAAGTTTTTTCATGCCTAGCTTAGACAAATGAGCTTTTTTGGATGAACATAATTACAAATGCAAATAGGCTTTGAACACAGGTAGCAAACATACAAAGCTGGYTGCTTAGTGAACATTTTCTTTATCATTTGCATAGTCACTATAAGTGAAGACAGAAACATAAAGAAAGTGAGTGGGTGCAGGAGTTATTATGCAGGATTTGCTCCTATCACCTGTGTGACAGCTGCACGCAGCAAAGAAACATCCCATCAGGCCTGCTGAATGCCAAGGGACCAGCCAGCTATAAGCTATAAACYATAAGCTATAGCTATATTGTTACAAGCAATGATATGTCAGCTTTCCTAGGAACCCTATCCAACACAAACTATTTATGCCCTATGGGCTTTAAGTCCTCAATCATTTGACAGGTGTATCACTGAATTCTTCAGATAATCAATTTGCTTAGTTTAGATTGAGGTGTGGAGATAGTGRCCAAGTTTTACACTATCATCTTAAACTTGAGCAGTGTCACCGCAYTGGTGAGAGATTTTCCCACTTGCAGCAAATCAACAGCTCTGTCTCATGCCTTGCCCATGAGTCCCTTCTGTAATCAGGCCCACAGTCCTTAGCAAGCACAGAGTGAAGTCAGCTCACCAAAATAGCTGTTTGTTATTCTGTAGCCAAATCAAAACCARAGTAAATCTTCTCAAAATTTTACATTAAAAATCCATTTGCATAACTTCCACAAATGCAGGACACCTTGCTTCTACCACGTCTCTCCTGTTCCCTAGGCTGTGAAGRCTGCCAGACCTGTAGCAGAACCAAATGCAGGATTTTGGTCTCAGCTGCAAAGATACGAAGAAGATTTGCAGATACCAAAGCAGTCTGCTCTGCTGAGCAAAGGACTTAAAAATAGTGATGTGTGAAGATGCTTTAAWGAATGTGAAGTGACTTGCTACAGACTTTTAAAAAAAAAGGAAAAAAATTCATTTCCTAAATCACCTGTACATAAAACACTTTACCCCCATAACTGAGTTGATGGTTCATTAAATTCATTCAGAGCATTTCTGTTGGCAGTGCATGGAAACAGGGCGGATAAGCAGGGAATAACAGCAAAAMCAGAAAATGGTTGGAAGGACTGTAAACAAACTAGAGAAAGACATGGAATCTTCAGCAGTTATTTTCCCCTGAATGACCGTGAGCATGGTAACAATGCACTGAAGGAATGAAGAAGTTACCACACAGTGATTTTACTCTTGTTTTTGAAACTCCCCAGTGATGCCATTAGAAGACATGATGCCAGAGCAAGGAAGTTCTGAATTTCTCTCTCACTTATTGGATCATAACTCATGTTCATGAGCTGACACAACCTTTGGTGGGAAACTGACAGTGTTTGATGCTTTGTCTCTGCTATTTTCCTTATATTCAACTAGACCAAAGTACCTTCAAAAATTCCATAAAGTCCAGAAGACAGAATCTGCAGATGATGGTAAGGAGTTCAGTTCACACCATGCAGGCTAAGTGACTTTTCAGCTTTTGAAATGATTCTCTAAAACACCAAAGGAATGATTTAAAAACCAGCAGTTGATAGTGGAGAGAAGAAGATGACACTGGCAATCTAGAAGCTTTACTTATTAAGTCTAACAGTGCCCAGCTCATGCCTTAATGTGTCAGTTTACAAGTCAGCTGTACCTGCATGCAAAYAACATGGCTAAATCATTTCTGCTGAGACTGCTTGCAGGTCACCCTCTGAAATTATCTATCGGGACATCAAGGAAACGGCATGAAACTTCTAGATCAAACTGCTACGTGTTTATCATCAGCCATTCAAAATAGAGGGAATCACCAAGGTGTTTTGTCAAACTGTATGAATGCATTTGTAATTTAAAAGGGACAAGTTATGGAACCTGTGAACCAGCAGGGTGAAATTCCATTCCACCTTTCTGAAAGAATAAATAAGAAGTAAAGTTAGCTCATTGCCATCTGTCTAAGTGCTCATACAAGGTAAACTTATGCTCCCAGTAGTGGAGTAACTTGAGGCAGAAATTCTAATGATGGAACAATGACAGAAAATAAAACCACTGGGGAATTGCATGAATTAGGCAATTCAGATGCAGTAAAAGTTCCCAAAGTTAAAAACTGCTCAAAGTTAAAGCAGGATTATTTTAAAAGCTGAAACCATAGAAATAAAATTTTAAAATTCAGGCTATCATTTTCTTAGTTACCACAAGGCATTTTCATACCAGATRCTTCCTCCACTCCCAGCTGYGTTTGGTTCATTCTGTACCATTTAYCATCTGTATCTGCATTACAACCAACAAGAAATTTGTTGCACATCTGCAGATTTGAAGGTGAGTGGTTGCTAGAAATTTTTTTGTAGCTTTTATAAACATTGGCTATTATATATAATAAGAATTTCAGTATAACATCAGAACCTTATTAGACAATACCATTCCTCAAAAAATTTGTTTCAGTCAGTCTGTGGAACAAAGTTTATTTCTTGTCAAAAGCTAAAGCTGCTAAACAAAAGAAGAAAGCTAAACATTAATGAAAACACAACACATTTCTAACTGTGAGGCATATGAACTTGCAGTCAGATACAGCTATCAGTTCCACATGTTTGAGTCAGCTGAAATGGAAACCATTGCTCTTGAGTGTCAGCATATGCTGTGCTCTGGTTAAATTTTACCAGGCTTCTCAGCATGCAGAAAACCTTCGTGCCGCAGGATTTCACATCACAATATCTTCCGTAGAAAGCTATTTACATCTGAAAACCATTCCTATTTACATTGAAAACCATACCTCCTCTTGTACTGCTCCAAATTAAGGCACAGGATTGCAACTTGGAACYGGAACAAAGAAGTAGCTCACTTCTTTATTTGAGTTCATAACCCACTAAYGCTACAGGTGATGCAGAATGTAAGCTCAGACATACTCCTTGTTGGTTATGACTGTCTCAGAGTTCCTGGGGTACATGCGTGGCTGAGAAGCTGCCTGGGCTGCTGAATATGCATATTTGTTGGGACTGTAAATTAAGAAAAAAAAAAGATAYAAAATAATTGGTATTAGACACACATCCATAGTTTCAGATCCTTAGAAGTTGCTCAATTAGCTCTGTATCCAACCCACCAGTAGCACGTTCTTCACAGTGGTGCAGAAATTAGAGGTCTCCTGTTCTCATCATTCTGGTAGCTAAGAGGAAATAGATGGGGTCCCTGACAGGCTGCACAGCCCATCTCTCTCATAACCAAAACCACACTGTGGATTCCAAACTCACATGCTCTCCCTCAAGGTATTTTAGTCAAGGCCCTCAAGCAGAAGAGAACCTAGCCCTCACCACCTTTGTACAAGCTGCAGGTTTTAATGCAGGAATCAAGATGATGAAGAAAGAAGTATCTTCAGCCAACTCCTTCAGCTGTCACTCATCACGTATCAGTTTCACTATTTCATGTATCAGTTTCACCTGATTTTCAGGGCATTTCAGGACATTTGGTACTTTGTATCAAAGYAAGGTGAGCAAGATCTAAAGTCCAACATGGCTGATGAAATATTACCATAAAACTGAAATGGTTTCAGATTGGGCAGTGGAGTATTAGAGGAATACTCACTACATTTTGACATAACTTTCCTAAAATTAAAAACAGCAGCAGTGAACTRTGCTTCTTCCTTGCATATTATAATCCTCTCATCTCTAGCTAGTACAACCTCCAACCTATTTAAGCTCTGCGTAGACATGGACCTCTGCTATTTCTGCCTATTTCATCCTTCTCCTTCAAAAAGACATCTTCTGTATGTGTCAAAATTTAAGACTGAAATAAAAATGCAGGGAAGGTTAAATACTGAGGCCAGAAATCTCAGCTTTCCTGATACGATGTGCACCAAGACATTTCCATAAAGAACAAGAAAAAAAATCATGTTTTTAATGATCAGTTGGATGTGATTTGGGAAATGCCATTACACTTTCTGCAAATTGAACAGTGTTTGAATATATTACAGTGGTTATTGCAGAGAAACTGGATCATAGTACATTATGGGTTTTTATACCCATTTGGCAATAGACAGTTTGCTCTTTCACTGCACATTTTCACCACTGCATCAGCAGTGCCCAGAATTACCAAATATGAGTTATAGGTGACTGCTGATGGTGATACATCAAGTCAACTGTCTGGGAGGTACAAGTGTTTGGTACAGTATCCCCTGCCATGACAAGACTGTGACATGCCATAGCACTGATTGTATTTATACATATTTATATCAGAGGGTGAGAGACAGAGAATAGAGGACAGATAGAAAGTGGTATGTGATTGACAGCTACTATTTCAACTGACAAACCCAAAATTACCTGTAATTCTGTTTTTCCTTCCGTGTGCATGAACAGGTCAGTAAGACCCCACCAAGCATATAAAGAATAGATCCAGCCCAGCCTAAGTACAGAGCTCCTCCTAATTCATACCTGAAACATGAAAGATTTTATGTAAACAGCTTATAACAGAATAACAAAGYCATTGTTTTAGACCAAGCTATAAAGTTCACAAACTATGCAAACAAATTCTAATCTGCATGGAAATCAGCTTCAACAATTATCAGAGAGCAGATCTGGCTTTGTTTCTGCTCACTAACACTCCAATTTGTATAGAGTTGCTCTGCCAAATTAGTGACAGTACAGAAAGTACTAAGCAACATAAAGATAAGTAGAAATAAATAATTGTGTATATTTAACAAATCATTGATAATAAATAAAAATAACACACCTTCTGTGCTATCCACGACACTTACTTTGCCCTTTTATTGGCTGTGTCACTGAAACAATTTTGTGAAACTGAATGATTAAGACCTCATGACTATATATCCTGAGAAAAGGCTAACTATGGAAATCAGTTTTTTATGGATATAATGCTATGTCACTTACAAGTAGCTGTTTGTATATATAAGGCTTGTTTTCAAACTTAGRTATCCTAAAGGAAATTCAGCACCCTCTGTGGTTGTATGGCTGAAAGACATTTATGAATGTTTCMGCTGAAAAAGAATAGCTCCCTATTTTACTGTACAAAACTATCCCTTTCAGGAAAGCCCCATGTCCAGTCCAAGAAATTAATTGATAATGATTTTGTCCCAAAGACTAGACACAAGTGAGTCTGGAAAAGTCTGACTGGAGTTTCATAAAAAGAGAAAAACAAATTTTTATATTCAACAAAGACTGTATCTGTAATCTACCTGTACCTCTGTCTGAGATACCCAACACAAGGGCAAAATAAGTGTCATGGTCTCCATTGAAGGTACACTGGAACCAAAGATTTGTTTTCACTTGGAAACATAAAAGCATTATTTGAAAGTATCAAAGCTTCTGACTCTGGAATTCATTGCCAAAAGGAGGGTTTCAGAGGCTGTCACGGGTTCACAATTCTCCCTTTCTCATCACACATGGGAGCCACAAGGTCTCCACTGGTTTAGGTTCTTTCCAAACAGGGAACAAGCAGAGAGTCATTATCAAAAATCCCCAGGAGTACAGTGCCTGCAATCATCTCTGCTCACCAGTCACCTACAGGCAAAAATGCTGTAGATGTCATACCAAAGGAAAGTATATAGGAGGCATCTGCAGGAGAAATTAGTTTGCCTTCTGAGCTATACAAGAAACTCCTCTAAGGATTAGCAGAGGTTAACTTCCCTAATTTGCTGAAGTCAGACCAAAAAAAGTGCAATCTGAAAACCAGATTTGCCAGTCTCTTAAGAATGAAGATCAATACTGGCATACAATTGAAATTAAACCTGTCTCACAGACTCYATGTCCAGCTTTACCAACTTAATTTATCAAGAACTGCCCAGTGAATCAATAGCTTAAACATGACGTTCACATATTTAAAAAAAAAAAAAAAGATTTCTTTAGCTACTGAATGCAAACAATCTGGTAACTGATTAACAAGCATTGATGTTGAAGCTCCAAAGCTATAGCAAATAACCATAAAATGYACCAACTATCCGACTAACCGAAATTCCTTATCAACAGTTGTTTCTGGTCTCTAATGTATTTATTACCCTTCATTTAGTTCTCTCAAGGGGATATAAAACAACAAAAAGTAACTGCACAAATACAATTTCTTTGTAAGTACTTCATTGAAAACRCAGGGAAAACTGACAAACAACCAAAGCAATTGCTGAAAGTACTTTGATTTACCACAAAGCACGTCACCTCTGACTTCCCTGAACTGATTCCTGGGCAGGAACATACAAAACATTTCAAATATGATCCTAGCAACTAACAATTTATAGCTTACTGTTCTATGAATTATATACTTGGTAGAAGTATATTATGGATGTCTCATATTGCACAGACAGTATGTTTTCCTCTCTTTCTCCCCCTCTTTGAAGGACAGGCCCAGTCACCTCTACCCTTGTTCCTCATTGCTAAACAGGGCACCTAGATAAGGTGCCATAAGCTGTCATTTGGTTTTGACAACTGTTACTTTTAT